ATTGCTTCGAAGCGCCAATCGTTGTTCGTAGGTTCAAGTGAAGGAAATGGACCAACGGTATGTTCTGGATGGTATCTGTTGGGCATTGACTATATCGACGACTACGTTTAGGTGCGTAGTCGCTGTCCCTTTTTATTTTTTTGGTTTTTTTTTTATTATTTTTGTTTCTTTTATGTGTCTTTGATTTTGTTAGAGTTATTAATTTCTTATTGAGATGTTTGTGTTCTGAGAAAATGCAGGGAATAAAATGCTTTTGAATCTGTATATTTCATGTTTGGTATTTTGTTATGTTAGCATTTTATAAGTTAATTCGTGAGAATGGAAAACTGGAAAAATGGAATGGCTGCCAGAAGAACCTAGCGTTAAAATTCATTAAATATGGCAGTAAGGATGCAGTTTGCTTTCTTATCTGCACTTTTATGATGTCGAGTCTTGTTGTCATGCGTTTTAGTTTACTCCTAAGAATTTGATAGCCAAGAACAATGTGGGAAAAAGCATGGAATTTAATAGTTCATTTGCCTTTATTTTCCCTTCCCTTTTATGTTCCGTTGCTGAAAATTCCTACCAAAACCTATATATATAGTTGCTAATTTTATTCCTCTGCCTTAGGTGTATACCAGAATTGCTAAGTTTACAATTTTGTATGCCAGTGCTTCCCAATTGATAAATTCAATTGCCTGACACATGGAACTATGCTTATGATAAATTGACTGACCAATAGTTGATCTGGTACCCACTACAGACTAGAGAGGCTGTAATTACTGCTACAAGATAGTTAAAACTTGATTCTTCTAGGTAACTCTCTCATTGTATAATTTGTTGATAGAGGAAGTAAACAGAAGGTCCTTGGATTCACTGGTTTCAAACAATGTTTAATGCTGGGTGATGTTGTTATATTTTAAATTTATTTTTCTGGTCAGAAGATTTTTCTGAAAATCTGAATGGACTCTCAAAATTTCTTTGCTACCTGGAGTTGATTTTCTCATTGCCCACTTGTCAATATATTTATAGTCTGAAGAACATTGTTTAAATGCAGGAAAATGAAGGGGAGGGATCATTGCCTTGGGACAAGGACAAGCATGTTTATGATCTAATGGAGAATAACAATTGGGCATTTTGAGCAAATTGCTTTGAGGAGGTAAGGTATTATATTTTGTATTCTTGTAAATTGTTACTGAATGCATTTCCTCTGGTATAGCTTGATGTCTTCCTATTCCAATTACCTTTTTATGAAAGAAAGAAATATTCTCTTTTTTTGTTTTGAGGAGGGGGGAGGTCATTTAACAGCACAGTAGTAGTTGCTGCATTCCTAAACTGGTATGTTCTTTACTCTAGGCTTTGACTAGATTGGTTATGCCGCAATAACATCTCACATACAATTTTGCCTTTATAATCTGTGCTGCTGCTTACAATTTTATGCCACTTCCTATGTTTCCCACCTTGACTCGACATAGGATTTTCTATAATGGTTGCTACATGTAATGATATTGGTTGAAACTTGAAATGTTATCTATGAGACTTTCATTTAAGCCAAATATCCAAACTTTTATTCATTATGTTTTAAGATATTTTTGTTGGGGAGGTAGGGGGTGCTGCATCATCATTAACTGAATTTGCTTCATGTGAAGAAGATTGTGTATGTGGTTTGATTTATTCTGAAATATATATAAGCCATTAATTTTTTTTTTTTCTGATCAATATATAAGCCATTAATTTATTGAGGAGTGTGAGGGCAATGGCTTTTTGAGGTCATCACCATCTCGAAATCCCCAAACCACCATGCATTCCACGTGTTCTGACAAACCTTCCTCATGAACCCAAAACCAAAATTATGGATTTCTTCTAATTTTTGTCTGGTAAAGGATCAAATTTTAATGTCATTTCTCTCAAATTTTATACGATATAACATTATCCTCTTCACTACTGTTGTATAATCCTGATATTATCCGTCTCTTCCTGTCAGGATTGTTGTTTATCTGTACTTCTCTTGGCTCTTATCTTCCTCCAACAACTAGAAGCTGGGAGGGGTTGAAACCTGAGGGTGAGCACTTAGGGGGTATTGGGTATGTACTAAAACAAATTGGCAGTTAACTTTCTTCCTCCAAACTTTTGGCGCACAGGTTTTTTGGAAGGATAATTCTAAGATTTTAGATTTATGTTTTCACAAACACAAAAGGCAAACTTGGGTAAAAACTGCATGATATTAGTGAAGGTTGGATGTTGTATCTTCCTCTCAGTTCTACTCTTCAACAACTAGAAGCTGGGAGGGAATGAACATAGGGTTGTCTGTTAGGGTATTTGGTATGAACTAAAACAAATTGTTAGTTAACTTTCTTCCTCCAAAATTTTTGCACAAATTTTTTTGAAAGGATAATTCTAAGATTTATGTGTTGGTAAATTCAAATTAGAGTAACGAGTGATATTATTACAGGTTGGATGTTTCGGGAGGCTGCTTTAGGACATGAATGATGAATTGAAGATGGTCATGTTGTGTTGCAGCTTGCTTTGTTTTTTCTTCTCATCTCTGTTTTGATGGTGATGAGAGCCTGGGTTTGCCTGGGTTTGTTTGGAAATTATAATTTGTGAAAATTAGTTTGGTTTTTTAACTGTTTGGTTTTTAAGAAAACAAAGGAAAATATTAATGATAATTAATTGAAATAGTTGTCGCATTTTCATCTTATCTTATTAATTAAAAATTAATATAAATAATTCCAATTAACTTCATATTAATGATAAATTAACTATTATAAAAGTAATTAGAATAAAATTTATTATGTTTACCAATAATATAAGGGCATTTTTGTCCATGTTGATTAATATTTTTATGCAAAGCTTTATATTCCAATAATCAAACCGAACATGTTATTAAATTAAAATATATCTCATCTTATATAGTACAGTCTAATTTAATATTTAAAACTATACTCAATCTTATCTAAACTTGTGCTCTAAACGTGCTCTTAGATGTACAACTTCCTGACAACAGGACCATGTATGGCAGGAAATATGTAAATTATAAATGCCTTTACATGGTCAGTGTAGGTGTTTGATTTGTTAAAACATCGAAGCGGCCGGTACCATCGGGGGATTGTTGTAGAGGAAGACGACAGTCAACAGGGAAAACATGGTCTATTTGTAGAAATCCCAAAGATCGCTTGGAGTTTGTACTTATAAGATAAACAGTTGCTACCCGTTATGGCCACAATTGTACTAGCGGCGATGTTCCAAGCCGGATAGAATCCTCCCTCAACTACCTGGGAAAAAGGAGTCTATCTTGATCACAATCTCTTTAAGCTGGATTGAATCTGCTCTATCGTCTATAAGCATAAATGATTTTTCTCGGTTCAGGTCTGCCCGGGTTTCAGATTCTATTCTTTCATGATATCCAATACCTTTGCCCTTGCTGCCTCTCTTCTCCTCATACATTTTCGTGAGCATGCAGCAATAGCACCACTGCTGACAATGATCTCCCTTTACTGCTTCCTGGATGCTTAGTTGGCTTTTTTAAGTTCCATTGCTCCACATCCGAGCTTTTTCCTCCTTTTTTTCGCATATTTTAATGTTCCTTTGTTAATATCTTCTGTTTTGCAAGCCATTGTTTGCAATAGGACGTATGGCTGAAGAAAAGTATAAAAGATTATTTCTAAGCTGAATAATGGATTCTGCAAGTGCAGGAGAGAGTGAATAAGCTGTACAGGAGAATTAAAGCTACTTTTACTTATGGATAGACTGTGCACCTATATATGTTGTAATAAATTCGGTTTTGATGTTGGCTAAAGCAAGCAAGAAGACAAGGAAGCTTAAATCAAGAAATATTAGGTGAGAAAACTCTGTTTTTCCACTGGTAATTTTCTGTGTGATATTACTGTGTAATTTTCTTCTGTATAAAGGTAAGGATATCAATGAGAAGGTGTAGATAGAGATGTAGAGCTCTGCTCCTCTCAATTTGTGTGTGAA